GCCGCTACGCCCGGTAGGCACTGCGCTCTGCTCTCAAGGGTGGCCCTCGCCCTTGCCAGGAGGGAAATGCTGCATGCCCTCGTATTATCCACTTCGTTGGCCCTTAGCCTGTCTCTCCGTTCAGTGGTCCGCAGATTGAGGTAGAACGTTACCACGTCCAGTGGAGAGCCCACCAAGTCGTCCGATGCTTGCTGCAGTTTGTAGATCGCACTGATGGCCTGGTAGATTCTCCAGTACTGCATCTTCGACGGCGCTCTGTCCAGTCGGAACAGGACCTCTCCCTCGCTGTCTGCGTTTATTCCTTGCCGAGAGCCCGAAGCTCCTCTGCCTGTTTGGAGTCGCTCCATACCAGAGCTTGGTTGGTGGAATACCTTGCGCCTTCCCTGAGCTCCATTACGACGCACTCGTTGCTGGGGATGTGGCCACCAAATTCCGGGGGCCACACGAGCCTGTGGGAGGCGACCTGGTCCTCTGACGGGCTGGTGAGGCTGAGGAGCAGCGCCCGTGAGTGCGAGTCCTGACCCCCGTCCATTCCCTTGGGCGACAGCCTGAATTCACTTGGCCATTGCAAGTGTAGGAGTGTCTTCCCATCCTGGGGGGGAACGCGTGGCGAAGCCTATATTTATCGAGCGTGCGGCAAGCCGATAGCTCGTGCGTGGGGGTGGCCGCCACTTCCACGGCACAGCTGTTCTTGCGTGCCAGGTCGATTCTGGCTTTTACTGAGCCGTCCCATGTCGTCTCCGTGGGGGCCATGGTCTCCGTCCATGCCAGTCTGGACAGAATGATACCCCTCTGTCGTAGGTCCTGCTCCCAGTGTTTTGGCAGGTTGACTCCTTCTGCGATTTTCCCCAGGGGGACGTGCAGACGGAACTGGGCTCCAGGGCGTTCCGCTGGTACGGAGAACATCTGCATGATGGCCTTGGCTGCGGTATCAGCTGGGGGGTCTGGGGACGTCGACGAGGTGAGCGGGTGGCGGCCGCTGGTCCAGCCGAAGTCACCCCCCCGTAGCGACCCGCCCCGTTCGGTGGGGTCTTGCGACGATGCCCTGCTGGACCCGGCCAGCCTGTCGCACAGGTTGGGGGAGGCGGCTCCTCTGCGCAGATGCGAGGGGGAGGCGGGCCGCTCCCTCCCAAAGCCCTTATGTTGAGCCATGGGTTAATCCCCCCGCCACGTCGGTAGGTCTGCCGGCCGCAGGTTGGCAGATGGGATCGTGTCGGTGGGGGTGATGAAACTGAAATCGTCGTCCCGAAATGGAAAGTCGACCGGTACGTGGTCCCAGTCGTCCGGGAACGTCCAGCCCGGTAGGTGCACGCGGCCCTCTTCCACGTCCGGACAGGGGAGTTCCCACCCTGGCCACGCGTGTCTCTCGATTTCAAGATTGGTGATGCAGTCTCTGGCCCCCCCTCGGGTCTGGGCCCAGAGATTGCCTGCCTGAGTATAGCTCCTGGGGTCAGGCCACCCGTGCTCCTTCTGCTTTGCGGCCTCCTGGTAATGTTCGTTACTCATGAGATGCGCCTTGCCGTCACAGTGCTTCTGACAGACCTCGCACCACCAGCACCACTCTTGGTGGAACCTGGTGGGGATACGCGAAGCGTTTAGAATTATGCAAATTTCGTGTTGGCAACCTATCGGTGTCCCATCTGTGTTTCAAGAGCTAAATCTTGAGATGTTTCGAAAACGAAATGGTCTCGAATGGATGTCGACACGCGCGCGCGTGGCGGCGCGCGCATGTGGCCCGCATGGTATTATCACATACGGATTCGTGCACTGGGCGCGTGCTAGATAAACGCAGATACACCGCGTGGTGAGATGAGGATGTGGGTTCTGGACGAGATCGCTACCGTCATATGCTTTTCAAAATAATGTCAGCGAGTTCGCCCGGGCGACAAGTCTGCAACTGTGATAACACAACGAGGTTTAAACTGAGTTTTGAAACGATCGCTGAAAGAATGCGTTCGGTTTGGGGTCGGCATGTGCGCGCGTTAGGCTGTTTGCATGTAGCGGACCTTGCAAAATGTTGTATGTGGTAAACGATTATGCGCTTGGTTATACTTTACGAGGGTGACGTGTGGAACGAACCGATGTCGGTTTGGCTGTGCTGATATGACTTTACATGAAAATACGAAAAAATAATAACCAGGAGTTAGCCAGCATGGACCCCAAACACTGCGCTTGCTCTATGCAAGTGAACGCTATGCGGTGCAAACTATGTAGTGGAAGATGTTTATTGTGAGCTGATAAATTGAAAACGGTGCGGTGCAACTCGCGCGGTGCAAACTGCGCCGTGCAAGCTAGGTGGTGTGAACTGGAGGTGGCATTAATGGGGTGTCAGATATGCAACGCAAGCTATAAATATATAGTGTACTCTAGGCGATGCACGCTACGTGGTGCAAGTGACTACGAAACGGCAACGGGCGGCGACGTGGCGAAACCTAGAAACACCCACCCACCGCACGACGCGGCAACGAAGCAGCAACGGGCGGCAACGGGCGGTAACGCGGCAAAACTTCGGCGGACCCCCCACACGCGGTGGGCGGCAACAGGACGGTAACTGGCGGCAGCGCGGCGAAACAACGGCGGACACCCCAAGCGTGGTGGGCGGCAACAGGGCGGCAACGGGTGGCAACGTGGCATCACGTCGACGGTCCACCCAGCAAGACGGCCACGGGCGGCAACGCGGCGAAACTCCCGCGGACTCCCAGAGCGCGGCGGGCGGCCGCGAAGCGGCAACGGGCGGCGACGCAGCGACGCGGCGACGCGGCGAAACCTCGGCGGACCCCCCAAGTGGGCGGCCACGAAGCGGCCTCGAAGCAGCCACGGGCGGCGACGCGGCGAAACCTCGGTCGATTTCAGACTCGCCGCTGGCGCCGATGCGGGTGGGGCCGTCGGCAGGTGCAGGGTGGGAGGCGTGTCGGTTCAACATGGAGACCCACGCGGCTACGTCCTCGATTTCGCCGTCCCGTGGGCCCTGCCATTCCATGTTGATGTTCCCCCCCAGTACGTAGGGATGTCGGTCGGTTCCGCCAGGGCGTCCGCTAGGGCGACTAGGACGTCGGGGCGCCGGTCCGGCGGAAGGTATACGGACACGACCCGGAGCGTTTCGCTCTGCTTGCGCATGGTGGCTGAAATGGCGCACCCAGGGACCAGGACATTGGAGTGAATCAGCTCGCACTCTTGAGAGAGGATGACGGCGACCCCTCCGGACCACCCACCACCTGGCCCGAGGTAGGCAGGGGAGGCCACGACCCGTCTCGCAGGGAACATGGTTGTCCACACGCCGACGTCGTGGTCGGACCAGTGTGTTTCCTGCAGCAGGGCTATACGCCTGTGGGCGGACGCTTTGGTAATGGTGGCCAGCTGGGCCTGGTTCTTGTGCGCAAGAGTGCTACGTAGGTATCGAACGTTCCAGATCAGGAAAGAGGGGAGGAGGGAGTTGCGGGCCGTCGCGAGGGCGCGGCGCAGGTCGTCCAGACAGTGCTGTCGACACAGGTCGCCCCAAGTCGCACCTCGTGGGATGGGGGTGTTGGTAAGAAGCGACCACAAACTGCTCGGGCACCAAATCGGGGGGAGGTCGGCCTCCGCAAGGGCTGCCCGGAGCGTGGCGCTAGCTACGCGCCACGCGCCACGCTCCGCTCCGCCACACACACACACACACACACATATATATATATATATATATATATATATATATATATATATATATATGTATATATGTGTTTGGCGGTAGCGCCCTGGCGCGCAGCGACGAGGCGGAGCAAGTAGAAATACTAAGCGCGCGGACGCAAGCGGGCCCTCAAGACACACGCCCCTGGGGAGTCGGAGGAGCGAGGACCGGCTGTGGGGACGGACGCGGGTTGTCGGACCCCGGGGGAGGCTCCCGTTCCAGCGAGGACCCCCATCCGACAACACGAACCCATAGCCCCCTCCGTGCCCCTCTGGGTGTGGGTGTGCGTTGCTCGTTCGTCAAGAGAGGTGACTGCGATGCCTCGACGTGCGCGGTGCGCGGAGCGCCGAGCTCTAGCTTTGAGTCGGGCCTGTCCCCCTACAGGGGGATTTTGGACGAAAAAAATACCCCAAGAATGCTCGAAAAATGTTCAAAAATAGTCAAGAATCATCCCTAACATATTGTTGAGCATTTTTGAAGATTCCTCCTGTAGAGGAACAGGCCCGACTTAACCCAATGGGTGTGGTTGTGCGTTGCTCGTTCGTCAAGTGAGCTGACCGCTATGCCTCGGCGTGCGCGGTGCGCGGAGAGCCGAACTCCAGCTGCCACTCCCGGGTCTGCGCCCGGCGCGGGCCCAGGAGGGGTGGCTGCAGCCTGGAGGCGGCCTGGGGGTCCCTCCTCCCTCTCCTCCTCCTCCCTCCCGCCCTCCTCCTCCTCCTCCTCCTCGTCCTCCTCCTCCTCCTCCTCCGCCTCCTTGAGCTGGATCGGCCCAGAGAAAATCGGCCAAGAGTCCAGGGGGCCAGGGGGGCATAAATAAACACACACACACAAATCCCTGGATGCCTTATCTTTTTCCCTATCTCCTGGATATTCCTCTTCCCCGCCCTTTGCCATCTTTTCTGATATCTTCATCGAAATCATGTTTTGTTATGTCTATGGTCCCTCCTGAAACAAGGGGGACGAGGGCAAATCCCCTCAAAATCGGTACCCAGACCCCTCCTAGGGTCGAAACCGACGAGCCTGCTCGAGCCGCATCCAGCCGTGGCAACCAGGGGGCACCGTTCTCCCCCCTCTGCTGACCAGAAGCAGTGCTCGGCCGCCTCAGACCCCCAGCCAGCTCCAAACTGACAGCTCCTTGAGGAGGAGGAGGAGGAGGAGGAGGAGGGAGGAGGGAGGAGGAGGAGGAGGAGGAGGAGGAAAGAGGAGGAGGAGGAGGAGAGAGGAGGAGGGAAGGGGAGGAGTAGGAGGAGGAGGAGGAGGAGGAGGAGGAGGAGGAGGAGGAGGAGGAGGAGAGGAGGAGGAGAGGAAGGGGAGGAGGATCGCGCACAAAGGGCGCCTGGCGACCGTCCCGTCCGCGCCCCTCCGCAGCTCGCTGGCCTCCTCGCCGCCGGCCGCCTGCCCAGCCGCCGCCGCCGCCGCCGCCGCCGCCACCGACGACAACGACGACGACGACGACGACAACGACGACGACGGCGGCGGCGGCGGCGGCGGCGGCGGCGACCGACTACGCCACCGCCGCCTGCTGCCACGAGCCGCCACTGACCGCCGCCGCCGCAGACGAGGACGACAATGGGAACGACGGCGACGACGACGACGACGACGACGACGATGACGGAGACGGCGACGGCGGCGGCGAGGAAGATGACCGTTGACGCCGACAACGACCACGACGACGAAGACGAAGACGAAGACGAAGACGACGAAGACGACGAAAACGATCACAACAACAACAACAACAACAACAACAACAACAACAACAACAACAACAACAACAACAACAACAACAACAACAACAATAACATCAACAACCGCAACCACAACAACAACAACAATAATTCTCAGATTGTTCGCCCTTGTATGCTCGAGTGTCCAATAACGCGTATTTCCCAAACCCTCGATACCCGCCCTCTTCGTCTTCGATCGAACCCCTTTTGGGGGGTATACCTTTCTTCCCTGCAGGCCGGGCCCCGGCAAGCGGCGGGGCGGCCGCGGACCGTCGGCCTGGCCAGCGGCAGCGCTGATCGGAGGGGCGGCCGCGGACCGTCGACCCGACCCAAGAGGGACGGACAGGGGACCGACCACGACGACGACGACGACGACGACAACGACGACGTCGAAGACGACGGCGACGACGAGCGAAAGCGAGAGCGAAGAACAACAGCAGGGCCACGAAGGGCACGAAGTAGGCCACGAAGGGCGACAGCGGGGACACGAAGGGAATGCGTATGGGGCCACGAAGAGCGCGAACGAGCGGGGGCCACGAAGTGCAGATAATGCGGGGCCACAGAAGGCAACTATGGGGCCACTGAGGGTAGCAACTGGGCCACGTAGGACAGTGAGGGGGACACAAATGGCGACAGCGGGGCCACGAAGGGCATGCACATGGGGCCACAACGGGCGCGACTCCTGGGTGCCTGGGTGTCGGGAGCGCGGCGCTTGGGCAAATTGCAGGAAATCCCAACGCAAGGCCATTCTTCAGAAAGTTGCAAGCGAGTCTCCAGCGAGAGCGCGACTCCGGAGCGCCGGGAGAGCGATTCCTGAATAAATTGTAAGGAAGTCCCAAGCGAGAGCGAGATTCCTGAATAAAATGCGAAGTCTCGGGCGGGAGCGGGGGTCCTGGCTAAATCGCAAGGAAGTCTCAAGCGGGAGCCGTTGTTGTTGTAACCCGGGGGCCAGGGGCCCAGTTTGAGCAGGAAGACTTTCCCTGTCAAAAAACAGGGTGCGAGCGTCGAGGGGCACACTTTGATTAAAAAAAGCAGTATGCACCAGTGGGGGGATCAACAATAATTAATCTTCAGAAATGAGAATTCAACAACAACAACAACAACAACAACAACAACAACAACAACAACAACAACAACCACAACCACAACCACAACCACAACCACAACCACAACCACAACAACAACAACAACAACAACCACAACCACAACAACGACAACAACAACGACAACAACAACAACAACAACAACAACAACAACAACAACAACAACAACAACAACAACAACAACAACAACAACAACACAACATCATCGCAACATCATCATCATCATCAGCAGCAGCAGCAGCAGCAACAGCAACAGCAACAGCAACAGCAACGACAACAGCAACGACAACGACGACGACGACGACGACGACGAACCGACGACGACGACAACGACGGCGACGACGACGAAGACCATCGATGATCGAGGGCCGAGGGTCGAGGATCGAGGGTCGAGGCGTTTCCGCGTTTTGCTCGCTCGCTTTGGGCCTCGAGGGGCCCCATCGGTCGCCACGGCTCGACTCTCCCGATAATCCTGGCCACGACGCACCCCTGGACTGGTCTCAGGGTCGACTTTTGACGACGACGACGACGACGACGACGACGACGGCGACGACGACGACAGCCACGGCGATGGCGACGGCGACGGCGACGGCGACGGCGACGGCGGCGGTTCGTATGAATGCCAACATATCGTGCAACCCCTCCCTAATAATCGCCCACTTGAGACAGCAGAATGCCGTGGATCCTGAGTATCGTTAAACGATCTCCATCCCCAGCGGCGTGGCCTGGGCCCCACTGGCCGATTTACCCCCCTAGATGGGGATATGAGCCGTTCCCTTCGAGTTTCGAGGGGTGTATACCCAACTGGGGTGGTAATTTGGTGGGGGTCTCGAAGGGGATGGGGATGGGGACGGGGATTGGTTAAACGATACCGATGATTGCCCACGTGAGATGGCAGAATGCTGGGGATCCTGGCCAGGCATGGGACAGCAGACCTGCCAGCTTTCCTGCAGCACGGCAGAGAAACGCCACGGCAAGAGCCTGGCACAGTGTGACGGGCCGGAGCACGGCACGGTGCGGCGCAGCACGGAATTGCGCAGCACACCAACAGCACGGCAGGGAAGGAGGGGGAGGAAGGGCACGGAAAGGAGAGGGGAGGAGAGGATGGAGGGGTAAGAGGACGGGAGGACAGCCAGAGCGATCAGGAGATGAGGGGGAGGGGAGGGGGGAGGGGGGAGAGGGGAGGGGAGGAGAGGGGAGCACAGGAGTCCTGACGACAGTCATGGCATCGACAACTGCGCGATTAAATGAAGCGGGTCTCACGTACGAACACATGGCGACCTCACGCGGTGGCTCACGCGGGCCGCCAGCGCGGCACGCTAGGTTCGAAACGAGGGCGCTTACTCGGAACCTCAAGCGGACAATTTACGCGCGAACGCGAAATCTGAGGAAATGTCATGGCCCACGCCATGATATCCACCCCCCACCTAGTCATCCCCCCCCCTCTTTACCTCCCCCGAGTCCCAGCGCCTTCCCCTCTCCCATGGAGACGAGGCTGGTGTCGCTGGACTGCGGCGGGGGCCCTGGGTAAAGCACACAGCACAGCACAGCACCTCGTGAACCAGGGTAGGGGCGTTTTTGCGCCCTTGATTGTTGGAGCAGAGGCTTCCCCGACGAGCCCGAAAAAAAGCTGGGCGTCGGCCCATCCACAGTGCACTCGGCCGCTGGCTGTTCCAGGGAAAGGCTCGCCCAGAGGTCGTCCCGCCGGTCGGGCTGTCGCAGCAATCCCACCCCCTCTCTCCGGTCGAGCCTTGCGAGCCTCGAGGAAAAGAGAACGATGACCACGACCAACCGAACGCGGAAACGTCTGGTGCGGATTCTGGTCAACGCCCATCCTGGTCGCCCTCGATTCGTGGATCACCCGCCCTCGCGAACTGGCGACGGCCAGCCTGGGCTCGCGACCAAGATCGGCGTCGACGAGATCCCGCAAAACCTTGGTCATTGTCAGCGTGATCCTTCCCTCGAGAACCAGCGACCTCAGCCGACGAGCGCCACGAATCTCAGCTGCAGCAGCACTGGAACCGCGCGACCCGGCTCCGGGGTCGGCACTGGCGACAAGGCGCGTGCCACGACCCTCGGCCTCTCCACGCGGGCGGAGTCAAGAGATTGCGGTAGGCGGCACGGCGTCTACGGTGCGGAGGAGGGCGGCAGGCAGGAGAAGAAGGGAGACTAATTAGGAAACAACTGCTGGGAGGTCTTCGTCGGAAAGATTAAAGAGGATGAAGCCCCGTTGCGGGGCTCTTAGGCCAAAGTGGGCTTCGGATTAAGGGGGATTAAGCCGGATAAAGCGGGATCAAGCGGGATCAAGCCGGATTAAGCGGGATTAAGCCGCAGTAAGCCAGACTTCCGACCAGGGCAAAATCAGAATTTGACCTCCCAGGAGTTGCATCCGAACTAAGAGGTGAAACGAAGCCAGGACTCCCCCCTCGGATGCATTCGGCAGTCTCTCGACGACTGGACTTGAAACGGCGACTGGGCAACCTTCAGCGACTTGCCGAGCTGCAGGACAAAGCATCACGAGTCTCTCGGGCACCTGAAAAACGTGTGTCGGCTATCGGAGGGCGGCAAGGTCCCCCACGGCCCATTTTGGCCAGCTAGGCTGTGCGACTGCAATCTACGAAAAAGCGCACAGCATTTCAAAAGGCAAGTGCGAGCACGGGTTTTCACCAAGAGAGGTAGAGAGACAGCGAGAGGGAGAGGAAGAGAGAGAGAGGGGGAGGAAGAGAGAGAGAGAGAGAGAGGGAGAGGAAGAGAGAGGGAGGGAGAAAGAGAGAGAGAGAGAGACTCAGAGAGAATACAAGACACTTGCTGCGCGCCAAAAATTAATGCAACTGCTCGGGCTTGCGGCCTCCAGTTATAGACTCAAACAGACAGCGAATTGGTTGGGGGAAGTCTCCGACAAGGGTGCCAGGCTTCACCTGCTAGGATATCGCCAGCTGGTGCATTCGAGAGAACGCCAAAGTCCTGCGATTACCCGAGGAAAGCCGCCCAACTCCTGAAAGCGCCTGACGTGATCTTGCATGACGGGTGGGCGGGCTGGATGGAATCAAAACTGGCTGCGCCACAATAAGACTCGCAAAAACGACGAATAGCGTCGGCCAGCTCCTGTCCATCCTCCGACCATTTCTTCACGATGGTCTCAGATGCGCATGCAGAATCATTGAGTTCATGGCCGGAAAAGCGGCATGTACTTCCAGTACCATGTTCTCGGGCAACCTGGGCTGGAGACACAAATTCTTGAACCCCCATGAAACAGGTCATGCGAAGACCGACTGGTCCCGCAGCGAAGAGAGGGCAGGACGAGGAGGGAGAAGTGGGAGGGAGAGAGACGGAGAGCGGAGTGCAGCAACTGTCGCAGAGAGGTGGTCTCACGTCTACGCAGCAGTGTTATCGCATCCTGCGAAAGGCACTGATGTCCTACAAGCCACAACTCACTGGCTACACGTTTCCTGGGCTAGTCCTGTAGCTAGCAAAACGGCAATGCCCCAACACGTTCGGTCCCCGATGAAGGCCCGAGGAGTCCTCCCCCGCCCCCATGACGCGAAGAGGGGCCACTCCAAGCAGCTTC